TATATATATATATATATATCACATGAATGCATACAACATTCGTATAGCAACATAAAGAGAAAAACACGAGTGTAGTGACTTGATTTTGGATGTATATACATCTCATAATTGAGTTCTTGAATTGTGAACATTAAACTTCTTCCTTTATGATCGTGTTTTGGACCAAGAAGCGAGTACAAGAAAGTGTGAAAAGCAAGCAATCAAAAGGCAAGTAATTCAACCTCATATTGGGATTTTCAAGTTTTACAACTTGAAATTCGATTAAAAGCATGCAAGCACGTTTTACAATTTATTTCCCACAAACTCTACTTGTTTTGTAGATTTCAAACTTGATTGTTCATTTCTAGTTGCTCGAATACCAGTCAATTTTACGTCACTTCTTGGGACAAATGAATGTGATCGCAGGAGAAAATTGAAGAGAAAAATTCGAACCAACTTCTATTGTTTAAACAATCTAGAAGTTGAAATTTCATTGTACAATTTTAAAATATGAAAAATATTATATTTCTTTAGCAGTATAACATAAAAAACAACATACTAGATATTCATTCCATCCTACATAAAAAAATCAATCATCCTATATAATTCTTAAAAAATTACACCAGTTTATTATTTATTTATTTTTAAGCTTACACAAACGGGATGGGCCCCAAAATAAGCACGCGACTCCTATTGAAGGACTTCTATCCGGTATGAATGCACGCAAGACAAGACAGTAAAACTGCGGGCAAAAAAATCCTACTTGCATAGCACTAACACTGAATAGATATAGATCCCAACTTCTAATGAACCAACCAGCAGCAGAATGAAACACTAGAATTAACATCCATAACCCATTAATTTTAATGACTTTTAGATAAGCAAAAGATAGCAGGGTGAAGGCCAGTAAAAATGCTCACCAAGAATTCAAAGATGTGAGTGACTCAAAATAAGATGCTTCTGAAGAGTTCAATTCACGATTTGCACCAATGGGAATGTTAGAATATCTAAAAGTAACATCAATAGACAAATCTGAAAACACAATAAAACTTCGGATTTGATCAACCAAGGAACGCCTTGATTTTGTGAATCAAAACAAATACAGAACAAGGTTTCAGTTCAGAAGGTTTACATTTGACATCCCATGGACCTAGACAAACAAGATTGAACGGAAACCAGACTTTTATGCCCTTCTGAAATCTGCATTGGTAATCAAGCATATTAGATAATTGTCAGACTAGATAACCTTTTTCTGAAGGAGATGGGAGTGCTTCAGAAAATAGACCCAACGGCAGTTGATAAGGGGGAAAGACTCCAAATTTTTCTAAATCGTCGATTAAACAAATTTATGTTATCTTAAAATACAAATATGCTTCTCCAGTTGATAGAATAATATTCACCATTTAAATACCAAGCCAGATGAATGGCCTTATATAGATGGAACAATGCTGGCTTCGTGGAGTTTGACATGATGCTTTAAACAGAAATATACTAATAATAAAGGCCAACTATGAAACTGACCTTTATTTATTCCCATGAAAGACCATCATAATTCAAGCAGTATCTTCGTGACCATAATTGTATATTATCTCAATCTGCAGTAGAAAGAAAAAGTTATTATAAACTAGATGGGACTACAGGCATGATTCATGGGGGACAGAAAAAATTGTAACACCAGATAAAAACAATTTGATTCTCCTCCTACTACAAGTGAAAGAACAACTTGTAATTTATCTTGGTGGAATGAACAAAAGACAAATACGATACCATGAAAAGAAGTAACTGATTGAAAATTATAGAAGTTTTGAATAAAGAGAAATTATATCCCTTCCCATCCCAACAGCATCTCTCAATGTCACATGCTTAAGGGCCAAGAGACTTCATTGCATGAGTTTTTATAAGCATCTTACTAGAAAGGAAAAGAAATATGCACCGTGCTAATATTTATAGTGTACGAACATTATCTCAACAAGGAGTAAGATATATTTTCAGACGACGTGAAATTAAAGTATTGACAAACATCTCTCTCTCTCTCACACACACACAGAGCAACTGGACTTCTTGCGAGAACTACTAACATCTCTGGCAATTGCTCGAGAGATGAAAAAACAAATGGAAAAAAAAAAAAAAAGGACTGTGCACCATTTACCAGGTATATCAGCTGGGTTCAACCTAGCAACAGTGATGTTAAAAATGAAGATGTTGCCTTGAATTCTCCAAAAAATAGACTAGAATAATGAAAAAGACAAAAAGAGAGATCATGTGGTGCAAATAAAAAATGAGCATGCAACCCAAGATGAAAATCAAAGATCCGGAATTGGACCTCAAGGCTTAAAAGAGAGTATGAAAGTCAGATGAGCACAATTCAATCAGTGTATCTTTTTCCAGTAAAAGTAATAATCAGTTCTCGAGCTTCAAGTAAACTTTCTACCCACAAATCTTACGCCTGGGCATACTCCGGACCGGTTCTTTAAGTAACGGGACCGAACCAATTTATAGTTCTGGTTTGGTACACTGAGAAACAGCTGAACTGCACCGGTCAGTTTGGTTCAGTTGATCCTCTTCTCCTTTGGATGTGCGAAATTTTGCACATGAATCTATATAAATTGGGGAAAAGAGAGAGAGAGCCTTATACTACATACATATACAGCTACATATGTAAGAGGCACCGCCTTTGCCAACCACGTCTCCAATGATATTGGCATAGTACCCATTTCCCATATCATGGCATCTAAGAAGCTCAATTCGGAGCTTTAGTTCATAAAATATGGAAGAAAGACAGGATGAAGCAGGTGGAGTGAGAGACCCAAGCCTATAAATTTGGAAGAGAAAGACTAATAATAAAACAGAAAAAGCAAATCTGAAAAAATAATGAAATGTCTAGAAGAGAAACTGAAAAAGAAAAATACAGGGAAAAGTTTAAGACTCCTGTAATTCCAGCTGAGCGGTTCCTTTCATTTATGGTTTTTGGTCATAATTACATTTATGGGCTTTCTTTTGGTTAAGTTGTTTTACTTTGGGTTTAAGGCAAAACCTGAGAACCGGACGGTTTGGTCAGGTTCTCAGTCTAAAAGGACTAAAAATGACATTTTATGAAACGGAACTGGACCGAATCAGCCAGTTCGGTCCAGTTCTGATTCAGTTCCTGGCATTTAGTCCACCCCTAACAAAATAACCTTAGACACTGATGTGATGCAAAATCAGCAGGCAAATATAACCGAGAAGCAGTATCTAAATGAGTGTAAAAGCTTAACTCGCAAACTAAGACCCATTATGCAGCATTAGGTATTCAAATCTAAATCATTCTCGTGAGTGATCAGATAAGACATAGAAACGGAAAAACCTCTATTCAAAAATATGTTAGGAAGAGGAACAGTAGATATCATTGGTTTTTAAAAAAATAGCAACAAAAAAAAGGACATAATAGCAGATTAAATATTTAGGTAGTTATTCCAAGTACGTGAACGATAAAATATCTAACCAGTAACCCAAAGCATGTTTTAAGTAAAAGTTATTAGAAGAAAAGTTGACAGCAAAATGTTAAAATTACCCCCTCAGGTGGAGTTGGGTTACGGCAAAACTTGCTGCCACCAGGAGCCCAAGGAACTGTTCACAAAAAAAAAATATGAGCCCTGAGCAGAATGAGCCAAGTTAAACTGATGGAAAACTATAAATACATAGCACAATATTGTCTTTGTATTGATGCAAGTATAAACAGGAAAAAGTAAAACTGTAAGGCAAGTAAATATAAGAATGCTTCAACAAATTGAAACTTCAAAGTTAGACCAAGCTTCAAAGATTTTCATTCCACATCTAATAAACATCTAATAACGCTAATAAAATAGCATATACATCACTTTCCTTTTTGTCTCCCTTTCATCTACCGAGGATCCAAATACCTTTCCTATGATGCATAGATATGCCGAAAGGAAGATATCAACCATGACAAGTGTTTATAGATGGAAGACAACTAAATAGGAAGTATCAATGCCAAGTCTTCAGATACAAAAGTACAATAATACTACATAAAACTACCAAGGATATCATTCATAAAGCTAAGTCATTCAGAAAGAGGATTTAATAAAATGAAAGTCTAATAATATCATATAAACTTTCCAAGGATTTAAGAAAAATGATACAGAAGCGTAAAAAGTATTATTCCGTAGAGGAAAAAAATCCAATTAATGTTTTGTTTTCTTCAATTCATTTCATATTTATTTTTATGTTTGCATCCCATGATTAAAATCCGCCTTATCATAAGGACCAACATGCTCCAATACACTTACCAATGTAAGGATCGGGATGCCGCCACTTATTGTAGGTTGCCTCACCAGCAGCAATCATTCTATCTATGGTCTCAATATCATCCTGAAATCCCAAAATAAAAGGCAAAGCAATTTAAATAAAATATAGTCTTTACCTTTACGGCAATCAATCTAAATTCTTCAAGAAATGCAACTTCCTTTTGTTTTCATCAGGAATTCATTAAGTCGATATCATCAAGCGTTCTGAGGCAGGTAAACAATTTCTCATAGCTAAGTATCAATTATTTTCTTTCTAGATAGCAATATTTTCAACCACTTAGTGGCCTTTTTTTCTTTTTTCCAGGAGCAAGCTAGGAATGGTATCACAGTTCCAAGTAATTTCTCGTTTCTATTACCACAGACCCCATTCTTTTCCAAATACATTCCTGCATACCAGACACCATTCATATGATCATATCCTATATCTATCAACATCGAAAACATAATTAGGATACTACCATATAAATCACAAATCATGCCCGTCTACTTACTAAAGCAACAACCAGAAAATAGGTAGTCAATACACCAAAATTCAAACCATAGCAAACAAGAAAACCATTTAATTTGATGAAGCAAGTCTGACTTATCCAATCGCTAAAAGCCCGTAACCATTTAAACATCCTAGTACCAGTACGGAGTTGTTTTTGCAAATGTTGACAATTTCTCATATCCGCCAAAACCTTATTTGATTGTCCAAATATTTATTTTTTTACTCGAAATAGAAAAACAACAAAATCAATGGGAAAGAGAACGAACCACGCTTCTGTTGGCTTCGAATTTCTCTCTGAGAGCATCGGCCTGAAACACCAAAGGAGAAATACAAAGTCCTCAGTTATTATCAATCTATAATGCATATAAATACATATAATACACAGACACACATACAAATACATTATACATATACGAATTCATCGAATGAACTGGGCTAAGATCGCGTTAATGTAAATAACCCTAATATCGATAGAGGAAAAAATTACATCGGTATAGAAGAGATGGCGATGAACGGCCCAATTAAGAGTGTCCTTGAGAGCTCGTCTGTAGAGGATTCTCACCCTCTCCTTCTGTGCAGCTCGTCGAGCCAGGTAAGATGCTGAAGCCACGCTCATTCTTCTCACTTTCTCTCTCACAAACTGTTCCCCACACTTCTTTTACTCCAAAGTCCTCAAGCTCCAAATTTGTGTCACACGACGTCGCTTTAACTGGAACGCTTGCTTCCCAATTTTAAAGGCCCTCTGGTTGGGCCTCACTGGAGAAAAGGCTAAGCCTACCAGAAAAGAATAGGTGGGTTGGTTCCCCTATAGTTGCTGAAGTCCACAATATGCATGTAAGGTTGCTTGCTTCCTCTTTTTTTTATTATTTATTATTATTTTTAACTCAAACTGAACTCAATTTCATCCCTAATTTTAACAATGAATATACCAGAATTTGTATATTTTATCATTATGTAAAAATTAATTATTTATGGTTAAGCTGCTTAAAAGGTTTTTTTAGGAAAAACAATTGTAAAACACGATTATTATCTAATTTATGATCATCATAGATAGCTGTATTAGTAACACTAGGATAATGTCTTCGTCAATAGCATTTTTTATCATCGTATAAGTTTCATTAGAATAATTCAAGAAGTGCTCGGCATCCATCACACTTTTGAATCTTTAACTAAAAATGATTTTACGTAATCTATCGATAAATTAATAAATAATTCATTTATCAATAAATTAATAACATTGTTAAAGTAATAATTTTCTCGGCCCTCATGATAAGTGTATTTGTACACTTATTTAAGCCGTTAAATTAGAGTACTTGTTAGTGATTTGGATGAAGTATATCTAATTTTGTGTTAATTGTATTTGTTAGATTGAACTCATTGCAAATTAGTGGATTGGAATAAATGAATGAAAAATGGGTCAAAAAGGAAGGAAAAACAAAGTTTGAGGACCAAAGTGTAAACATTCAATAGTTTATTCAGAGCACAAAACGATGATTGAAAATCATGTTGGATCAATTGGATGCAATTGGAGGGCATTAGTTGAAATATTTTCACTAATCAATTTTTAGCCGAAAAAGTTATGCTTCTAATTTTTAGCCTCAATTTGAAACCCATTTTTCGGATAGCAAATGTTCAAATTAAAAATTTTCATTTCTAGAATAATTGTAGTTCTTTGAATCGCCTCAATCAAATATCGAGAGATAAATTTATGACCAAAATATCGAAAACTACTCAAGGACGACGTGAACAGAATCGACGTGCACGGAACAATTCAGCGCAGTGGTTTTGTTTGTGCGCGCAGGGGCCATTTCTACACATGAATCGGAAATTTTTTCTCACGATTTAAACTCTTTTGGAACCCAAATTGGTCGCGATTTTAACCTATTTTCTGGCTCTTATAAATACAAAACGAGGGCTATGCATTAAAAAAAACTCCCTTGCGTCCTTATACACAATAATATTATCAAATTCATCAAAAACAAAATGTCAATAGCTATATTTTGAGAGAGGAGATCAAGCTCCATCAAAGAATTGAAACCAATTACATCAAGATTTTGAAGAATTCAACATTGGACTTGAAGATCAACGTCTTTTCATAATCCGGGTGATATTTTTCTATTATTCTTTCTATAATTTATATATTAATATATTAGGCTAGATCCCTTTTGTATTGAATGAAGATGAACTCAATTGTTTATTTGTTTTAATTCAAGACTAGTAGTTTAGTTTAATTCATGTGTTTTTTTATTAATTTTCTTACTCATTGCATTATTTAATTGATCAGCCATCAATTAGACAATTAGTTGATTGTTGTAGTGTTGGGAGACTCACCATAAGTTTAGAATGCAGTAAAATTAAAATATGTGCATTAGATGTTAAAAATAATATTTATCACTTGTGAAATCATATTAATTAAAATAAATTTTAATACATTCTAATCATTCGAATTTATGCTAGGTATAGACTCAGATCATGATTTAAATAGAGTTAATTTATTTTGGAAAAGAAAATTAAATACATTAATTTTATCGATTGTCAAAAATGCATAAATATGATTAAACTATATAATTGAAAATTGAAATAAATAGCAATAGGTGAATTTGAATTTCAATACAATCATTCATAATTTGATACAAAAACACTATGTATCGCTTTCTTGGATAATTTAGCATAAAATCAAATCAAATATCTCTTTTATTTACGTAATTCGAATTTCATACAAAACTAGTAAACTTGATTAAATTTATTTCCCATGGAACGATATTCTTAACTCATCAACTCTATTACTTATCAACAATTTTGTACGCTTGCAAAGGTTTTACTGTATTTTTTTATTTTTATTTTTACAGTTAAAAGCAAGAAGTACTGCAAAGACAATGTTAGATAAAGTTGTTCAAATAAAAGGTTAATGGCTCAAGTGGAAATAGCAATAAAGTGGAAGGATCTTGGCTATCATTTTGAAATGGACTAAATTATTAACTTGAATATAGTTTGTAATCCTATAATGCAGTTAAGAAATGTCTATGGCTTAATTTACAATTTATAGATTTTAATCAATTGAAAAAAATTGAACATGCGGTGTGATGCAGAAGCCTGAAGGCTTCCAACGAGGGGAAACTGATTTTCGAAGTTTTGAGTTTTTTTGGTGCGAAAATTGCATGTTTTCATGATCCATTGTGCATTCCTTTCAAATTACTGAAGTCAAGTGATGCCATTTAATTATAAATATGTGGTTGGGGTATGGTTTTTTAAACAATCATTTTTTTTATAACCGTGGATTTTCGAACCAACTTGCGCACACCTTAACTAATTCCACGGACTCCTGAAGTTTACGACCGAGTACTCACCTCAGTAGCCTGAGGTGAGCCTGGAGGTTTTTTTTTTTTTAAATCATAAAATGATAATTTCCATAATTGCTCTTATATTTCAGAAATTTATACAAGTGTTCAAATTTCATTTGAAGAGCTTTTTTACTTTTTTGTTTTGTACAAAACTCGGAAAGGCTTGTTATATCCTCGAGGTTGTTTGTCTTAGATCTCAAAAGCAATTCGAGAGAGGGCAAATACCACTTTAAGGAAAGCATACTATCATATACACATTCCAAGTCTTCATTTTGAAATTTTCTTCAACATATTGGTTCTAGTTTTTGGTTTCGATATTCTTCTTCTACTTCGAATCTGTACAAGAATTTATTCCAACACACAAGAATCAAAAAATTTGTTTACTATGAATACCTTTTGGTACATAATATCGCACAAATATGCACAATATAACAAACAAGATTTTTAACTTGTATAACATCACCATTCACCAAACATATCATAAAAGGGTTACAATCATGATCTCGTTTCTATTTGATGAGCCGTAGTTCTCCAGAGAGAATCAAATTCTCAATACACAACAATTTCAAGAAAAAAAGAAAAACAATTTCTGCATCATAATTGCCTTGGAACTTGAGTATATCAAAGAAACTTCCACAAGCCTCTCTTGACCAAACATGGTCGTGTAGTTTTCACCTAGCTACAAGCTCACAAAAGGGATTTCACACTCTTTTTCCAGCTAAAGGATCTTGGACTTTTGCATGGTGGAATGAAGATAAGGCCAAACATCTGCTTAAGGGTTTGCCCTTTATCTGAGAATTTAATCAGCTTTGCAACAATAGCAGCACTATCTCCAATGTGATCCATATCTTTAGTGTCGCTCCAAAGACGATGTACCAACTGTGACCTCCTTTGCTTCGAATTTGTTCTAATGCCCCATTTCTGATAAATTTGGTATCTTTCATCTCGGGTGTACCTTTTATACATAAGCCTTCTCAGCACCTCCCTCTCGCGTCTAAGAGCTTTCATGCTGTTGCTACAAGAATATAATAGGAAGTGCCGATCATAAGTAATAATAGATTTCAGGTTTTTGAGCCAACAGAACTAAATCGAATTGTTAGTAAAATGTTTACACGAGTCGAAACATAAGATGCTGTTAATTCATCTTTACACAGGTTCAAAATTTTTGTTTGTATCAAAATTAGAATTGACCTAAAACTTTTATTAGTCTTACATGTCAGTCCCATGATGTTTTTAAATACTCACGAAAATTTCCATGGCGAAAATTCAGTTGGAAGTAGATGAATGTCATATACTGTGGTGTAAGAGTTCTTTATATATTCATTCCATGTCTGAAAATGTAACACAATAAGAAGGGCATTCCTTTAAGAAATTGACAAATGTATACTGGACCGTGGCAATAATAATTGTGCAGTTCCCTTGACCGCAGGGCTACAATGTTATATTGGGTAGTCCGGACAGATTAAGTCTCCTTGACATTCCTGTCATATATAAAGGATTTTAGGGAGAGTCATTGTTTCTTTAGATAAGACGGGGGTCCGTGAAACACCTAGTAATCTCCTTCTTTATTATAGTCAAACTCTGCAATCACAGGTGGACACAACTTTCACATTGAGAGTGAGCCACTAAAATTTGAGAGTTTACTTTTTGAGTGTTTCTTTCTTCCTTTTGTTTATTTTGCTCTCAGAGCTAGACATTAAGGTTTAATCAATGATAGTGAGACCACAGAAATACTATGAGAAAGAGAGAGGAAGTCAGAGGATACCTTATTGCCAATGAGAGAGGGCGGCTATCTTGTGCAGTAGGATTTCCCATAGGAAATGTCTCCTTCAGGAAGGACAGTCTCCTATGCTCTACCTCCATGTAAATGGAATCTATCAACTCATCTTTAAAGAGGAGGAAGAAGTATGTCCTGTGGACCAACGGAATATTGCAAGTATGCCACAATTCAATTATCAATCTTTGCAGCCTCTCAAACTTCAGAGGCCAATCTGAAGGAGCTCCAAGAGAATCGTGCATTGGATCAATACCAAAATCTTCGACATTCTCTCCAGATTTCAGTTCTATCTCCTGAACCTGGATGTAAGAACACGTACAAGGTTAAGAATCACAAGAAGGCCTCTTCTTCTCTAAAATTACTATCTTACCGCAGACGCAGCTGTCTAAACATGGGAGGGGGAAAATCAACAGGAAGTGAAATATATAAACAAAATATGGGAAAACAGCAACATTGCACAAACAAATAAATTCATAATTAGGAATGAGTGTCACCTGATCATGAAGTTGATTTTCATACTGAAGCTCGGCCATATCCTGGAGACCTGCAAAGAAAGAATCAAGAGTAGGAATATCCTGATCTCCATGTGTGATGTTTTGAGCTTTTACTTCATCTATGGAAGTGCTACTACTGGAGGATTGTGAATCATTTCTGGACAGCCTCACATCATATGCACCATATATCACTCGCTTCCAATGAGTTCTTTGGGAGCCTTCTGGTCTTCCTGGGAAGCTTTTGTCCAACTCGGAGGGTGGTGTCGATTCACTTTTATCTGCCATCGCAGAGTGAGATGAGCCAGTCATCAGTCTTGCTCTAAAACTTTGGCTTCTTGTCAACTTCAGGGTTCCAGAACTTGGCATATTGATAAACGAGGCCCTTGGAAATGATTCGTCGGGGTAGGAGCTGACTAGAGAAGAAACTGATATTGGCACCTCTTCGATTTTCTGCTCCGACGTCCAATTAGAGGAACCATTTTCAACAACACAAGCATGTCCAGGTAAAGCAGATAATGGCACCAGATCCACCGCATGTCCATTTCCAGTTTCCAAAAACATTGACATTCTTTCTTCATTCTCGTTGTTTGACGAGCCAAATGATTCATATATTTTGCCGTGTCCATATTCATCCATCTCAATACATTGAACTTCTTCACAGATATCATCAGAATCCCTTTCAGTTCCTACTGTAAGTTCCTCTCTTCCTTGACTCGGATCGGGAGTATTATCAGATGACGAGTGATACTCACCGTCTTCTGAAAGCAGTACACCTGATGTCCCATCACTCCTGATGTCTCCGTTATAAGACCGAATTCTGTTGAGGTGTCTGGCACAATCAGTTCCACTCGACAGACTTGTCACTGAGCATTCATCTTTATATGTTTTATCTTCTTGCCATTTAAGAGAACAGTTAATAGTATCCTGCAAAAATGTATTGATCAAAAACTACATCACTGATATGTTTTATCTTCTTGCCATTTACTAGAACAGGTAATAGTATCCTGCAAAAATGTATTGATCAAAAACTACATCACTGAAACAGATTTGGCACAGGGATATTGCGGACAGGGGGAAGAGAGGGGGGAATGCATACCTTTTTCCATAAAGTTTTGTCATCTCCAACCACTTGCAATAAATCCTCAACCCGGGATTGAGCAAGCTCTCGTTGCTTGGTTAGTTCCCCCACCTCTTTCTCTAACTGCGAAATGGTAAATCAAGCAATCACATTAATATACTGCAAGGCTTAGAAATAACAAGTCCCAGAGCAGTCGGATGCCTAAACTGACATTTAATGGTTCAATAATATTCGTTAAGGAATATGTCATTCTCCTAATCACGAGCTTTGATAATTGCAGCAATATAAATATGATGGGCATTTCTGATTCAAAAAACATTGGATTCCAGGAATTTGCACCCAATTTATACTATCCGAAACCAGTTATGGAAATTGAAGTGATAAAATGTAATATTCATCTCTCTTATATCAACTATCATTAAACAACTTCAGTTACTCTGGTACAAGTATTTAACTGTATAAACACAAATATATACGAAAGTTGATCACCAGCACTTACTGTTAGTTTATTCAAGTCATTTGACTCCATCTCTATGCCTTAGTTTAAGGAAACAGAATTTTAGTGCAATAAGCATGTTAGAAAAAAAAAAGTACATCGTGTGAATGAAGTAAACCAGAATTTTAACTTTTTGAAAAATGTTAGAGAGGACAGATACATTACAGAAAGATTTTAGAAACAAATCATGACCTTTTCAATCTGCATGTCTTTCTTTCTTAGCAATGCAATATGATCACAAGCCAGTCCAGGGGTTCTTAACTCGCTCTTCAAATGAGCCACCTCTTTTTGCAGATGTTTCACCAACGCTTTATCGGACATCAACACGTTGACCCGAGCATTTGTTGTCACTTCCTTAGCACAGCTGGCAAACAAAAGGGTATTTCTTGATTGCTCATTATGGCTTCTTGTAGGACTCAAGGTGCAAATAATGGCAGTTCTCGCATTGCCTCCCAAGGCGGGTTGTAGTATGCGTGTTAACTTAGAGTCTCTATAATTGACATGTCCATGTCTTCCTTTGCTGCATTTAGTGATATAGCAATAAGTTACTAATTATATGTAGTGTAGAACAACACGATTATATACCACCACTCCAATAGAGTAATGTTAGTCATCCCCACATGGGGTTGAACCCCAATCTATGTGGCAATTACATGGCATTAAATAATAGATTCATTTAAATGCAAAGTCACGTGACTCATTTAGTTGAGTCTATCATTTAATGTCATGTAATTGTCACATAAACTGGGGCTCAACCTCAATGGGGATGAATAACATTATTCACTCCAATATTCTAGCAAAAAACAAAGCTACCTACCATGAGTATGAGTGGGTGACAGAAAAAACCTCCCCATCCTCAATGGAGGAAGAAAGCAAGTTCACATATTTAATTTGACTAAAATTCCCCTCTAAAATGGAATCTTTCTTTATGTGGACAGGGGAGGAAAAAGGAAAAGCTATAGAGAAAAAGTAAATTCGAACCTAATCCTCCATGGACAAACTGAAACAACTATGCCCTATCGAAACATAAAAAATTTCTAGATTTTTGAATAATAATTATCAGATTGATTGATATAATTGACGTATGATAATTTTCAGTAAGACAGCCAGGCAGAAGGAAGAGAGGACATGTGAACAACCTTAGCTTGCGAATAACAGTCCCCAGAGTTAGCAAACTACGATTGATGTGGCAGCCTTCTTTCAATCTTTGCCCAGCTGATAGTGCTTGAGATGCACGCTCACTTCCTGCCAGATCGACGAAATTCTGCAGGCAACACCACAAGAATTCTCCATATCTGATATTTATATGTTCATTTACAAATCTAAATCGCTGAAATGAGTTCCATCATCGTCATCAAATTTACCCCTCAAAAGACAAATTGATTTGTCCTTACCACGGCAGCAGCAAGGGTGGTCGAGTTTTCCTTCCCTAAAAACTCACGAGCAGAACTTTCAATTGCCTGAATACATCAAATGTAAAAGAGCTCTGAGGTTTGTCTACAAGTTTAAGTAGGAACAAGATTTAACCAGGAAAGTAAAGGAGAGAAGGGCAAACCAATCTAAGAATTTGATGGGATCTAGAGCTTGTTTCATTTAAAGAGGTCTCTCCAGTTTGTCTTTTTGCTGTGAGAATGGCATATAAAATATAATCACAAGATAGAATATTTTCAATTAGCTAATACATCGCAATCACGAAATATTGCAATCAAAATTCCCTGTTTACCTTCACATATGGATAAAAGTTCCTTGAGGTGACTCCAATCCCTCAGAGTCTCCTCAGTGAGTTTCTCTATTACAGTTCCTCTCTAATGGATGAAAAATCATTAAAGATATGCACTTACTTAAAGGAAATACTAAGAAAGAGACAACTCACCTCTGCATCATCAAGTAGTCTAAGTGGAGTATTGTCTGCACTAAGAAGGTCTCTAACAACTTCATTATAAATTTCAAGTGCAGAAAACTTCAAAACAAATGCTCTTTCTTCATGCTAGATAAGAGAAAAAGGATGAGCTTACAAAACTAGGACTATAAACAGGAAAACTACTCAATCTGAAAAAGCCAAAAGCAAAGACAAATATCTTAAATTGGTATCAAGAACTGACAAAAAATATAGAATTTATATGCCTTTTGTATGTAACTGTAAATATCATCCACTGTATACTGAGTGATTCCATTCATAGTGTATGTCTTTCCACTGCTTGTTTGGCCATATGCAAAAATGGTTGCTGAAAGTAAAAATTTAGAAGTAATTCCAGCTGTTAGTTCGTTTTCGATAATTGACACCAACAAATTATTATTTGAAAAGCCAAAGGAGAAATGAGGTCAACGCTACAGTGTTCAGATCATACTTACAGTTGATACCATCAACAACAGAAAGTGCAGCATCCTTCGTTCCTTCCAAATAAACTTCCCTTGTACTGCAGTGACCCCTAAAGACTCGATCTATCACCATATATTATATACAGATGCCAACAAGCGAAGAAAAGACAGATTAGAAATTTTAGCCCAATGTAAATCCATAAGGTGCGAGTCTATAGTTAAAGCCCACAGTGACCATGTTTTAATACTAGTCCCTAGATGAAGATTTTATTCAAAAAAATTGCTCGCATTGAGATTCTTCCTTCAATAAGTAAATTTAAAAACTTGCATTATATACAAACTAAGTGCTCTCGACGACATTTTATTTTCTTAAGTAATTGACTTAAAGATTGAAATTAGCATTAGTCTGCTACAAAAGGCTCCAAACTTGATTAACCAACAATGATAGCTATACAGAAGCATTGGAAAAGCAATGAACATTTTGATGGAATCAGTTGAAAAAAAAAACCATGAGTCCCTTGAACATTCTAAAAAGGACTTAATCTCGCAAGCAATGAAATCAATCATTTGTACTTCTGGAACTGAAACGTGATTAAATCAACCTTACCAAATGTATAAGCTGACGGCAATCCAGACCGCTCCTGGAGGCTATTCCGGTATAAAATGGTGGTTGTATTAATGCATTCCCAATCTGCATCTTCATTCCTTGCAATCTCCTTTTCATTCAAAGGCTTCAACCTCACCAATACTAAAATCTTCTCTTCTTTTCCGTTCCCAATACCTTGCCTTTTGTCCGAATTTAACAGTTCTTCCCCACCAACAGTCCCCATATTCTCACCCCCTCCGGAATCCTGTTCTCCCTCAAATCCAATCCAATCTCATTAAATACGATATACCCATAACTAAAATATCCCCTCAAAACCCCAAAAGCAATAGAAACAAATGGAATCCTTTTAAATAGACTGTTAAAAGACAAGGTTCCAGTACCTCCAACAAGTAATAACTGCATTATTTATCAGATACAGAAAAGGTTAATTATAGAGAGATTTCAACAATGCAACTAATAAAATATTGATTGAAATAAAAGGATAATTATTTGCAGCGTTAGTTGGAATTATGATTGATTAAGCACTTTGCTTAATCTTTTGCTCAAGCCCTTATGTTTCAACAGAAGCTTGAATACCACTTGCCAGAGTAAGAAACTCACATCATAGTTTTGCTTATTGGGACCAAATCATGCTTCAAGTTCAAGTAAGAATGCTTTCAAAATTTACATTAACGGGACCCAAATGCTTTCAAAATTTACATTAACGGGACCCAATTATCGATTTAACGCTTACATTTATAAATTTATTTGGCTAAGATTATAAGTAGCTTTTTAATGCATTAAACTCTCAAAAAGCTACTTACAATCTTAGCCAAAAGTGCTCTTATGTGTATGCACATACATACATATGTAATTTGTTCTTTAACGCAATGACAGTGAGATTGAAAGAAAGCTCACCTTTGGTGTCATTTTCACGAAACGGAAGTTAAATGAGAGTTGGATTAGGCTTACAGTTAAATGGTCAGAATTCAAAAGCTTCCAGTCTTCAATTTTATGTATATTTAAGTGGGGGAAAAGGAAAATTCAAAACTGGAATTGTTATGATTTCTTGAAAATATCACCGACTACAAAATAAAAATCGCCCAAATTGACAACTGCTGGATTTGATGATGACAAAATGTAACTCCAATTTAACAGTAAAAATTCTATAAATACGCCAAAAAATCAAGTTTTTTTCTGGTTAAAAAATAACTTCAAAAACTATGTTTAGCACAATTCTCGGTAAAAATTCAAAACAATGAGAGTATAACTTCCCTCTCAAACACGCGCGCACTGGAAGGTGGGAACGGCGCTGCTACGACGGCGTCGCCGTTATATCTGCTGGCTACCGGGAAGTCAAATTCAAATTACGGTTCCAGGCCTCTTAGATTTAGGGAAATTCACTAATAGTCCCAAACCTACTTACTTTGTGAGAAATTCGTCCTCATTTATTTGTTTTCCAGCATAGTCCCTATCTTTTGAGTTTAGGTGCGCAGATATGAAATAGATTTTTCAATAAATTCTAATAAGTCCTCAATCTTTGATGAGAGACATTTGAGTCTCTAACGTACCTAATGTGCACTTGGATCCCCAACCTTTCAATCTGTGCAAATTGACCCCACCTGAGAAAAATGGTAACTTGACAAAGTCAATTTGTGCAACTAAGTGCTTGTTTGGATTTCATTATAAGCTGTTGAAATTAATGTGATAGAAACAAATGGCGGATAGTGAATAATTGGGCATGTCTTAATGGTCCTATGAAATGTGTGATTTAAATTAAAAGTTAACGTTGACTTATAAATTATAAAAAGATGAAAACAAGTTAGATAATTATAACCTAATTTTTAATTTAAGTGTGTGTTGGAACATTATTGTGTATAAATTTTAATAAGAAACCCAACTGTTATACAATCATGTGGACACAACTATTGCAATTATTATTAAATGCTTTTTACAAATCAATTAAAGTAGACTGATGAAAAGATTATTGTGCCCCTTAATTTTTTCATTCAATCTTTTTAAGTTGGGCATTTTTGGAATTCGGAAATAGAAAAACACATCTTCTTTTTTGTTCGTCAGTGATTGCGACTAGAGCTATATCCTCTTCATTGTTCATAATAATCGGATTTTGTAATAAAATTTGATAAGAATGGAGCCCTAAAAGAGCCAAATAAGAAGGATAAAAGAAAGAATCATGCTACATGTATGCTATAGTTTGAAAATATTGGTTGACAACTTACACTTGACAATATCACATTCATCAATTTCAAAATTTGTTTTTAAAATAAATAGTACGGTTTTTAATAACATTAACATTGTCAATCATTCTTGTTAAGTAAGACTGTACAAATAACATGATTGTAAAAGAAAAAAGGAGAATGGTGAAAAAGGAAAAGGAAAAGGAAAAGAAGAACAAAAAATATCATCCTTATCTCCACCCTCTCGCTCCCATAGTTGACTACCACATCGTCATCGCCTGCCATCACCTGCCAGCCAAAGTGGCTCCCCAATGGTACAACTGTCTTCTTAATATAATAGGTGTTTCGTACGGATTGTCGCTAACAATTAAAAAAAGGATCAGACGATTGTGTAAGGGACAAATCTCTTGAGACAAAGTCTCAAAAAGGGGTGCTTTATTGATGAAAGTTACAATTGGAAATAAACAGAATGCCTCCAAGGGGCGCAAACACACGAGTACTGAAAAGAGATAATTAAATTTAATCTAAAAAATTGAAATTACATATTCTCTATTTGAGAGTGTTTGATTCGGGATTTTTTTCTCTATGTCTTCTCTTTCTTTTTATATTCCCTTGATGATTTTTTCGTGACAAACCGCTTGGAAATTGCTTGATTGCTCTATAACTACCCACTTTCTTCATGGTGGCTAACTTGTCGTGGAATTGTCATCTCTAACTGTTGTCATTACTCTTTGTCGTTCAACCGCCTTCAACTAGGCTCCTTGAATTATGGAATGTGATAAGATTACTCGATAACTACTTCAATAACTGCTATTTTAGATAACTATAATATCTCATGTTTGCTAAGATCATGGACGATTCGAAGGTTTGGGCGAGAACGGTGTCATCCCTCTGGGCAACCGTAAGACACTCCATTCGCTCAGATTCTGGGCGTCTTGCAAGTTTGAACGATGATATTACTGTGTTCGTGGACTTCCACTGCATTCATCAATAATCTTATTTGGGCATTTATTCTGGACTTCCCAATTGGGCTTCACTCTTTGTTCTATTTAATTTGGGCTGCACTTTTAGTTTGTCAACAATTACCCCCCAATATGGCAGAATTAATACCAAGTATTAATCTTTGTCATATTCACTTTGTATTTTCCAGGCAAAATTTGAAATTCTCGAGAATTTCAATCATTATTTCCTTCTATAGTCTGAAAAGGTGTAACGTTACAAACCCTTATAAACCCAAAAGACACGTCATTTCATCACACCACTAAACTGCGTCTCTATATTTCGCGCTTCTTCCTCACTATTTTACTGTTCATCTTCTTGCTTTTCTGCTTCGTTTCTTAGGCAAGTCTTAACAAAACTGTACTTTGCACTCAAAGGCGACTTCACAAACTCAATCTGATGATTCTTTCAGTTTCGAAGATTTCCAGAAAATCCTCACCAGGCCGTATGTAAATCCAAACTTCCTTGCACAAGCCTATGCTGATCTCAATGAATTCTAATTGGATCCAACCTTCAATAATGCCGAAGTCGTTGAACAAGTGGCGG